TGTTTATAATGTTCATACAATGAAGTATTAATATTCATATGTTTTATCTTTAATATTTCTAGGTCAGTATTGAAAGAAAAAGTTAGAAAAGAGGATTCAAAAAAGAGGGGTATATCAATACAAGCAGATGTTGATGTTGTTCATTTTGGTGAATGTGTTTAATGTTCATATCCAATATGTTTTATATTCATATTTTTAATGAAATTGATAAAGTTCATGCCATAATGATTAAATGTTCATAGAGAAGCATTGCATATTTATGGTTCTGTTTTTCATAGATTTAAAAATTACAAAAAAGAAAACTATAAAATTATATTGTTAGTACCATGTGCATATTTTTGTAGATGCTATTGCAGCAGTGATTGTTGAATCTATGGCACCGAAATCAATTTTCAATGGAAATAAAAGGTTTGATTTTTGATGTATATATATTTTTCGGCTATGAAATGAGATATGTGCTTTTTTAAATATGTTTATACATTATGAGTTCAATGTTCATACACAATAGGTTTCATGTTTATATGTGTAATCATAATCTAAATTTCATAGCAATTATATGTTTATACAATATATGGATAATGTTCATATATATTAGTTTTGATGTTCATAACTTTTTTTTTGTCAATTGTAATAGGCGTTGAAAGAGTCCTAGAATTTCAAATCGGAGAACTGAAGATCAAAAAGATGATGAGAGAGAGTATTTAAATGTTTTGATTAGATAAATATTCGTAAATATAAGATTTAAGATAATTACAAAAAAAAAATATCACTTGTTAGTTGGAAGAGTGAGCAACACCTCCTCTCTTGGCTCACATTGCAAGATGGACCATGATCCATGATATAATTTGCCTCCATCAAATGTAATCAAAATGTATGGTGAAGTGATCACATAACATTGAGGGATGATACCGAAAATTAAATTATGAGAATGATATCATCAAATATTACTAATTTATATAATACTCTATTAGTTTATCATATTAGCAGATAGACTGAACCCTCTGTAAAATAATACACTTTTCTCACCTCCCCCTCCCAACAAAAATTTATTAATTTCTAGAGTTATTAATTCATCAATAAATTAATAATTATTAATATAAAGACATTTTTTCAAACTAGCAAATAAAAAAATAAATTTTATTATTTTTAAATCAAGAAAAGGTGGTTGGAATCCTATTTACATTGCTATAATTTTTTAATGGAACTAAAGGATGATAAATATTGCAAATACCAAAAAATACTTAAGTTAATATCTAAGTTAACTTTCAAATTTATTTTATTTATTCTACATGTTTATTAATATACAAAATTGTGGGGATTTATCCTTATATAAGAGATACTTGAAAAATTATTATCTTACAGGTTAATCGAAAATTTTTCATTTTTTATATTGGGCACGAGTTGGAACCGAAGAAAAATATTATCTAATGCAAGTTATCATTTAATATTTGATCAATGAAGGGAGATTCTATTGAGTTAAACCTCTATAAACTAATATAGTTTTTAAAATTTTATTAATTTGTAGAATTATTGATAAATTAATAATCTAATAATCTAAGATTTTTTATTCCTATGAATAAACAAATTACCAAAATTTCATTATTTTCGTAGATAGAAAAATATTTTGCAACTCTTACTCATATTATATTAATTTTTTTTATAACCCTGGGAACCCCATGCCCACTACAATAGCCTGCAAACCACAGTGAGAGGTAAACCATCCTAGGCAAACCCGGGGTGACAAGCTCGGATGCAAAATCGCGAGTTTATAGGTGGGTTTGCCATAACAAGCTCTCTAAATATCCCAATTGGTAAGGTTAGAGCCACCCATCACTCTTGTTGGAGTAGGGTTTGAACTCATGACCTACTTTTGAGAGCAATGATAGTTTTAATGGAACAAAAACATGTAGTCACAAACAAAAGAAATAGTCAAGTTAAATATTCTAAGATAATTTTCATACATAAATTTGATTTTCGGCATTTTATCAATTTATGAAATTGTGAAAACCTACTGTATATTTATATAAAGAATTATAAATTCTTATCATAAAGATTTTTTATTTATCCTAATTTTGTTTTTGTGGTAACACCAAAAATTTCCCACGGAATGGATAAGCCTATGCCCATTGTAATAGCCTCCAAATCATAGTGGCCTTTGTGTTGTTTTTATCTTGATAAATAATAATTGGAAGCACATAATAATATTTTTAAGATTTTATTTTTTAATTAGAGAAACACATTAACTGAAATTTAGGACATATAAATATGCCTTATAATATGGAGATGAAGGAGTAATAGTAAGTTCATAACATTCAACTCATTGTTTATACTTGATCTTCGGGGTCGGTAAAATACTACCAATTGAACCGGTCAACTCTCCAATACCCAACAAAGCCTAGGCGATCTCGGGTCTTCGTCCCGATCCACTTCCTGGTTTGCCGCCGGTCGCTCGTGCGAGTAATCAACCATAAAATAACAGTAGCCGCTTCACGGAGGGCTGGTCAGTTCCTTTTGTCCTTCTAATTTGTGTCCCTTTGGTTTTTTTTTTTGTGTTTTTTTTCTTAAAAAGAATTTGCGCTTTAATGCCTTGATCTGTATGTCCTTGATAAACTTCATAGTGAAAAGTAGACAGTGATTCAAAGCACCGTTTGGTTGTCGTTCATTGTTTTCCCTAAGCTTAAGTTTTGAGTGAAAAGGTTTTAACTCTTATTATTTAGTAGCATTAGAAAATCCATATTATATACATTACTCCCCCCATTTTTTTTATATGTCTTTCTGAAGAAATCATCAAAACCAAGAAAATATTAATTAATGTAGTTAAAATATAAAAATACCTTTATTTATTATCTATACAATTCATCACAAACCATTAGTAATTCATTATAAATACTGTTTCATTTCCAATGCGAGAGTAATATTGGTAAAAAGTGGTCAAATATATCTCGATTTGTGAAAACGATATATATTTAAAAAAATTTACTAAATCTTAAAACGACATATATTTTAAAATAGAGCGAGTACATAATTTTGTTCGTTTCGAAAGTGGAAATTGGCTTGTGCTGGTCCCATAATGATTTTTTAATTAAATTGTCGCTGATTATTAATTCCTTGAAGGTGACCTCCGTCTGTCTTTCAAAATATGAGTTCATTACACAAACAGAAGGAAATTAAAAAATCCATCTGCAACCAAAAACAAAGCTGTAGTGAGATTAGCAAAATCGATTATCCTAGCGGAGGTCAATAAGGACGCCAATTCTGTATTCTCGCCGTTCCCTCAATGTCGTACTCCCTCCATTTTTTTTATATGTCTTTCTAGAAAATTAATTAAAACAAAAAAAAATTAATTTATTTAGTTAAAATACAAAAACATTTCTACTAATTGTCTATACAATTCATCACAATCTAATAAAATTTATTATAAATATTATTTTATTTCCAATGTAAGAAATTTTAGTAAAAAATTACTAAATCTATCTCGATTTGTAAAAACGACATATATTTGAAAAAATTTATCAAACCTTAAAACAATATATATTTTAAAATAGATGAAGTACTTACTAAGCCTTGCTGCTGGGTCCACGGGCCGGACTCAAGCGCAGCTCCTCTCTTTCCTCAATGCCAAGTCGATTAAGGAATTAAATTCTGTCTTCTTTGCTCGTCAGTTTTGTATTAGCCGAGCCATTTCGGTGGGCCTCGTTTGTCTACATTAAAAAAAAAAAAACTAAAGTATTTACAAAGTTAAAAATAATATAATTTACGAATTACATTATTATCTTAACTTTTTGGGATGAGTAAAGTGTTAACCCAAGGCCAGAGTTAGATTTTGTAAATGTTAAGATTGTTTTCTTAAACCAAAAATTTAAAAAAAATCAGAATATAAAAAATATAACAGTAGAACTTTCAGATTCTTTCTGAAATTTTAATTAATATAATTTGCATTCCATTATACCGTTTCATAGTTCTCCCAAATGAAAAGGGAAACAGCCTTTTTTTCGAATTTTTATTTTTTTTGTTACAAAGAAAAAGGAGGCTCACGCCTTATAATTTAACAATTACATTTTGAACATACGATACCCCTATAACATCGTGGTAAAGTCATATCGAAACCCTCTTCTGTGGAGCTTCCAACCTTTGCAGTCTACCTAGTTCTCGAGAAGCTAACGATTTCAAATAATTTACAACAAAATTTAGTTCGCGGAATTTATGTTTAAGCTCAACCATCCAAGACCTGTTCAAAAGTTGTCAAATTCCCGCCACCAGGCTGGTATGGATCCCAAAAATATCTTCTTTATTGTTGATCATTATAAGGATACTATGATTATCCACTTCACCAATGACCTTACGATAACCCTTCTCCCAGGCTAAATGTAGAGCTTGGAATAAATCCCATCAGAACAGAAACCTATATTCATCAAAAAATCACCAACCCACCTGCCATGGCATTCCCTAATCACGCCACCGGCACTAGCTAACCCCGTCTACCTGTTGAAACTTCCATCCGAATTAGTTTTAATCAAACCCAACGGAGGAGGTTGCCACTTTATCATCCTCAGTTCACGACACATTCGGATTATGATTATCACGATTTTTCTTGACTTGTGTTGAAAATTTTCAACCTTTCCAAAAAAATGTCAACCTCTAAGATAGCATCCCTAGAAAAAAGAGAAATATTAACCTTTCCAAAACATTTGAGTCTTCTTTGTTGACTCGGCCAGTTTCCTTCCAACCCCAAACCCTCCAATATAAAACCATGTGAATTATTGAACCATATGAAGGGAATCATCCCATAAACTTCTTCACAAGATTATCCGTTGGCTACGTTTTCATCTTCCAAATTCTCTCAAAGCATCTTGTGTTCTCGTGGCATTTACGCATCTTTCCCGTTTCCGGCGATCACTCATCGGCCCTTGGCCCTTCCTTTTTGTTTAGGTTAGTATTGCTCTTGTAACGTCTCTCTGTTATGTGCGTTTCTTTTCTGTCCTCAGTTTGGGGCTTTGGAAATGGAACGAGAAGGAAAATCTTTCGAGGAATCTGACAATGGAAATTTCAGTTCTGAGGTATAGTTTTTGTCGAATCGAATATAAATTGAACGACCTTTTTTTTTTCCTGAGATAGAAATGTCCAATCTGCTTTCATCTGCTGAAAGAGCCAGTGTACAAATATGAAATTAGGTTTCTTTATTTGGTTGACTTGAACAGTGACTTTGATAATGTAGTTTTGATTTGTTTCAATATAAATGGAACAATTCATTTGTGAACTTATGATGAAGTTTGTCATATTTTAATAAGTTGTTTTCAATAGTATCTTTGATTAATGCTGATGATTGCATTTTTGGTTCATGAGAACTCAAATATATTTTTAATTTTATTTTTTCCGGAGTAGGCAGGCAAAATGCCCTTGTTACCTGCTCGTGTGAGCAAACGACTTGGTCTGGCAGAGCATGGAGAAGACTCTCCACTTGAAAAGAGGTTGAAGCAACTCTTGGTTGAGTTGGGTATGAAAACGGAAGAGATAGAGACACTTGAAGTTGAAGCCATACTCAAGAGTAATGAAAAGATGGAGAAACTTGAAGCTTTACTCAAGACTAAGGAAGAGATGGAGAAACTTGATGCCATGATCAAGACTGAGGAAGCTCAGCTCCTGAAACTGAAGCAGCAAGGTGAACAACTGGTTGTTGAGATCAAGGCTTTGGAGGAAGCGTCGACGATCTTGGAAATAGTTAGAGCTCTATGGTGACAACATGTTCATTATTAAATCAGCTTAGTCATGCTTTATAACATGCTTGCTTCATCTCGATGTATTTCCTTCCTCCGATTCTACTTGTAAGGTATAAATTTACAGGTATTGATAAAAAATATGTCGGGAAGGGAACATTTCCAGAATTTTGATGGCTTGCAAACTTGTCAAACAGATCAATTGCTCCCTATCTTTGCATTGGAAAATATTGTCTAGGATATATCCTGTGTCTCTTTTGTGTCTCCGCTCGTTCTTCTGATTTATATACTTCTTTTGTACGCCCTTAACCCCGGGGGTTCAATTCCTAGATCGGTGCCCCTGTGGTGCTTTGTTAGTATTACATTTTTTTTTTTTTGTTAAACAAACGATAATCATATTATATTAAATCAAATGAAATAAATTCTAAAATACATTGTGAGATACTAACTCGAGATATGCATCTTTTTTTTTTCTTCTTTTAGTTTGAGTATAAGAATCTTACAAGTTATTAAAATTGTAAATAAGTTTTTAAGAAAGCACTCCATAAACTTTAAAAAATATGAATTTCGAAGTTACAAGTTATTTTATGGACTATTTAGAAGATGAGAAATATGCTTTCAGATTTTTTATTTTTTTTTGGTTGTTAATGGTGCTTTCAGATTTGGATTTAATTGATAAACTGCTCTGTATACGGGATTTAGATGACTGTGTTAGAAAGCAATATCCATAAAAGGGCCATAAGCTTTTAGTTAATTCCAATTAAGCCCCTAATAAAATTTATTTTTGGTAAATTGGTAAAATGTATTACTATCAAAATTGCTTTTAAATAATATTACTACCTCTGTTTTTTTTAACCTATCGTTTAAGGGTGAATTCAAAGTATTTTTTATCTGTGGCACTTCATTTTCAATGCATTATTAAATAATATTTTTCCAATTTTACCCTTATCTCCCTCTTTTTTTAATAACATATATTAATGACAACTACTTACTCTTTAACTTAAATTTCAAATTTTTTAGAGTTCCAATAGTTTTAATTAGGGGCAAGAAAGACAATACTCTTATAAATTAAATTCTCAATCATTGTTTTCTTAATAGTTGTGCAGAACCTAAAACAACAGATAAGAAAACCGAGGTAGTATAATAATAATAATAATAATAATAATAATAATAAATGGATAAATAAAACTTGCCACACCTCCTCGTGGCCTCCAAATTTCTTTGTGAGAATTCGTTAATACAAAAGTCGATAAATTAAAAAAGAAACTAATTGAAAAGATAAAGGAAATCCCAATGCACTTTGAAGGAAATGTGCACAGTAAAGACAAGAACAATGATACCATAAAGGAATCACAATTGTGATTACGAACTCTACTACTTTGGTGTTTAAATGCAGTGTTGTTAAGCTCACCTCGGACCGACCGGTCGAACCGGATTAACGGAAACCGGACCCCAAACCGAGCCGAGCATGTAGTGAAATCGCCTATCTGAAACTCGGTCAAAACCGGTCAAAAATCCAGTTGAACCGGGAATCAGTCAAAATCGGATCAAACCGGGTTTTGACCTTTTGGGTTGATAAAAGTCAATTTTGCATCAAATTTATTAATTTTTTAATCATAATTAAAGTGAATTAAACTAATCGTATATGTAATGTCATAATTGTGTTCCATAAAAAAATGATTTGAGAACTCTGAAGCACTAATTTGACTAGAATAATGGACAAATCTATATAAAATTTATAAAATTTTATTAAAAATAAAATTTTTCATTTATTAATATTTATTACGTCATTATGATGTCATCCGAGTCGATCTCCGATTCGCCCCGAGTCGACCCCCGATTCACTCGATCCCTAACCAATTGCGAGTCGAGCTCCGGTCCAAGCCTGACGACACTGTTTAAATGGAGGCACGTTTCGGTGTTATAATCTTTGGAATATTGGTGGCCTTGCTGGAGCTTTATGTGAGACCATTTTGAGTGCACCCGGTACCGCGGTAGACCCCTTCTTATTTTTGTATTATTAGTCCTTATTGTACTTTTTCTAAAGAACTTCCTATATTTTGCAAATTTAGTCCCTTTTATTTTTTTTCTCTCCCCTCTAAAAAAAATCTCTAATCTTTAAATGAGCTTAACTCATGATCCGTGAATAATTTGTGAACGAATAATATATAAAATTTATAGTACTCGTCAAGATCTATCCAACGAGATCCATATGGAATATTTTTTCGAACTTAAAAATGACTAAATTTCCATGGATAGAAATAAGATGGAAATCTAGTTTAAAAATATGGATAACTAAGTTATTTTATATGGATATTCTTAAATTGCACACAATTCATGATGCGTGAAGAATTTTTGAACAAATTATATATGAAAATTATACTAGTCGACTTGATCTATTCAACAAGGTCAATATCGAATATTTTTTTCAAGTTTTAAATGCATTTAAATTTTATGAGCAGAAATAAAGGAATATGTTTTTCTTTTAAAAAAAACATTTATCCATTGGGTTCATACTCATTATCTAACCGGTTGAGCACATTATCCATTTTTTTTGTATTGCTTATCCATTCATTTTTATTTTAGAAAATGGTTGTCTTCGTGGTGATTATCCAACTGCTTGGTATCGGTTATCCAGTCATTTTTTCCCTTCTTTTTCATGAAAATCCTTGTGCAATTTTTTATACTAATCATCCAATCATTTTGTATTACTTATCCAATCATTTTTACTGATTTTTCAAACAGATTTGTACTACTTGTCCAATCATTTTTTTTCCTTTTTTTTTTCCTTAGAAAAAATAGTTGTACAATATGTTTATAGTGATTATCCAAATGCTTGGCACTGCTTATCCAACTATTTTTTTATTTCATTCTTCATGAAAATACTTGTCTAATATATTTATACTGATTATCCAACTGCTAGATACTGTTTATCGAACATAGTTTTTCTTTTTCTTTATCGAAAAAATGATTGTCCAACATGTTCATAGGGATTATTTAACTGGTTGGTAGCTTATCCAACCATTTTTTCTTTTCCTTTTTATAAAAATTCTGGTCCGGTTTTTTTTACTGACTATCCAACCGTTTTGTATTGGTTATCCAATCATTTTTATTGCTTATCCAAACATGGTTTATAAGGTTTGTCTAATGTTTTCTTTTTATTTTTCTTTTGATGAAATATTTGTTTAATATGTTTATACTGATTATCCAACTTCTTTGTAATCGTTATCCAACCTTTTCTTTCTTTTTTTTATAAACATAATTGTCTAATTTTTTTTATACTGATTATCCAACCAGTTTGTACTACTTATCCAATGGTTTTGTATTGGTTGTCCAATTATTTTTAATGATTGTCCAAATAAGTTTGTACTACTTGTCTAATCATTTTTGACTTATCAGCAATAACCACCCCCACCCTTCATAACATGATTGGATTTTCAGAAATCTAATTTAATTCGATCTCTACTGGTTTAATCTTTGTTATTGAGATATTGACACTGTTTTGTTAAAATTTGAAGTCTACTGTTATTGTGGATAAAAAATAATCATTGGTTGGATAGGAAGTTAAAATATATGGATAAACATTATAAAGCTTTTGGCATTTGTAATGAATTGATGGATATCCAACTGCTTGGTACTGATTATCCAACCAATTTTTTTTCTTTATTTTTTTTGTGAAAGTCCTTGCCCGGCCTTTTGCACTGACTATCCAACCATTTTGCATTGGTTATCCAACCGTTTTCTCTGTTTATCCAAACAGGTTTTATACGATTTGTTTAATAATTTTTTTATTTTAATTATTTTTTTTAAAATAGTTGTCCAATATTTTCATACCAATTATCCAATTGATCGGTTTTCACTGCTTCTCTAACCTTTTTTTTTCCGTTTATGTTTTTTTGGATGTGCTTGTCCATATTTTTTACACTGATTATCCATCCGGTTTATACTGCTTATCAAATCTTTTTGCTGCTTCTCCAAATCGCGGCAGCTATTCATTGATTTTGTATTGTTTATTTTACGCTTCCGAATGTACCTATTTCTATCAGCAAAAAATGTGAGAGTAAATTTGAATCGGGCTGCTTATCTACCAGTTTCCTAGTGTATATCCAACGTCTTTGTACTGATTATCCAATAAAAATACTTTCTTCATTTCTGTCCAGATTATTTTATTATTTTTTTATTTTTACAAAATTAATGTTCAATATTGATCATATCGGATACATCTCGTTGAGTACTATAAATTTCATGTATAATCCGTTTTCTAATTATTCATGGATCAACATTTATAAATTTTACAAGAATACCAATATAAACTAGTTGTTTATCCATATTTTTAAACTAGATATCCATCCAAATAACATACAAATTTCGTTCATTTCTGTCAATCAAAATTTAGTCATTTTTTGGTTCGATATAAATATTCGATGTGGATCTTGTTGGATAGATCTCGATGAGTACTATAAATTTTGTACATAATTCGTTTTCTAATTTTTCACGGATTGAGAGATATGCTTATTTGAAAATTAGAGATATTTCATGAGAAGATTGAAAAAAAGTGACATGTACTAAACTTGCAAAAAAATAAGAAGTTAGAGAAAAAGTACAATAACTATCATATGTGCAAAAAATAGGAGGGGACCATGGTGGTTCCAGGTGTACCCAAGAATTTGCCGCTTTATGTGTAAAATTTATCCTAATTAGTGGACCATATTCTTATCGTCACATATGATAATTACTGATATTTATATTGTTTGAAATAGTAATTAAGATAATTTTTATTTATTAGAGTCTTATCTGGAATCAATTTGTTATTATCATTATCCCTTGATGGACTGGATAACTACGGTGGATAACAGAAGGGTCCTAACCTTGTCTATATAATTATGCATGTGATACACCATCAGTACTCACGTTTTACGTAATAGGTCATAAGCTTGAAAACACTTCTACTCTGTTTTGCAGGCACGGTTTTAACTGTAGTTTTGCCGCTCAAACTTTAATGGCTAGAAGTAATCCTTGAGA